CCTGGCTCTGTGTTGGACAAGCCTCCCCCCTGTCCCCATGTTCCCCCTGTCCCCATGCCATACAGCACAGAGATGCCCCAGTGGGAGCCAGCCCGGTCTCCGGCCGCCTGGAAAACGGAGAGTCCAATGAGGGACACGGTGGGGGTGACGGTCAGCGGCCCAATGTAGCTGAGCAGTGCCCCAGGGAGCCCCAGCAGCCCGATGACCACTTCCACCAGACTGGACACCATGATGGCCCCCTGGATCTGCAGGGCATGGAGAGGCACAGGAGAGGGTGTCAGCAGCCTGCCAGGGAGTCAGGGTGCCACGGGGTGGTGGCAGGGTGGTGGCAGGGTGGTGGCAGGGTGGTGCAGGGTGGTGACAGGGTGATGGCAGGATTGTGGCAGGGTGGTGGCAGGGTGGTGGCAGGATTGTGGCAGGGGGTGGCAGGGTGGTGCAGGGTGGTGACAGGGTGATGGCAGGATTGTGGCAGGGTGGTGGCAGGGTGGTGACAGGGTGATGGCAGGATTGTGGCAGGGTGGTGGCAGGGTGGTGGCAGGGGGTGGCAGGATGGTGCAGGATGGTGGCAGGGTGGTGGCAGTGTGGTGGCAGTGTGGTGCAGGTTGGTGGCAGGTTGGTGGCAGTGTGGTGGCAGTGTGGTGGCAGTGTGGTGGCAGGGTGGTGGCAGGGAGTGGCAGTGTGGTGGCAGTGTGGTGGCAGGGTGGTGGCAGTGTGGTGGCAGGGTGGTGGCAGAATTGTGGCAGGGGGTGGCAGGGGGTGGCAGGATGGTGCAGGATGGTGGCAGGATGGTGGCAGGATTGTGGCAGGGTGGTGGCAGGGTGGTGGCAGGGTGGTGGCAGGGTGGTGGCAGGATTGTGGCAGGTTGGTGGCAGGGTCGTGGCAGGGTCGTGGCAGGGAGTGGCAGTGTGGTGGTGGCAGTGTGGTGGCAGGGTGGTGGCAGGGAGTGGCAGTGTGGTGGCAGGTTGGTGGCAGGTTGGTGGCAGGGTGGTGGCAGGTTGGTGGCAGGATTGTGGCAGGGGGTGGCAAGGTGGTGGCAGGATGGTGGCAGGGGGTGGCAGGATGGTGCAGGATGTACCTCTCGCATGCGGGGCTGCCAGATGTGGGACGTGTTGAGCGGCAGGGACCAGTTGCCATAGATCTCCTCTGGGGATGAAGGGCGGTGAGGTGGTCCTGGGGGTCGGGGAGCAGCCGGACACCCCCTGCACCCCCCTGCCCTCACCTTCAGGTGGGCATCGCCACTTGTCCAGGGCCAGGATGGACTTGGCGGGGACGAGGAAGGCCAGGGCGCTGGCCTGGAAGAGCGGCAGCCTGGGGGGACAGAGGGATCCTGCGCCCGGGCCCGGGGCTGGGCAGGGGGCCCGCGGGGCCGCGGCTCTACCTGATGCCCACGGTGGTCTGGATGAGGGTGGTGATGCCCACGCAGGTGAAGATGGTGCCGATGAGGTAGCTGACAGTCAGCTGGTCCTTGCCCACGCACAGGCTCTCGGCCAGCAGGAAGGGGACGGCGATGGTGCCGCTGAAGCAGGTCAGGTAGTGCTGGGGGGCGAGGGGGGGCTCAGCGGGGCTGGGGGTGCCCCACAACATGGGGAACGGGGATTTGGGGTCTGACACTTTCCAGGCCGTACCTGGAAGCCGAGCAGGATGCAGAGGTACCAGGGGGGCACGTCCTCGATCCTGTAGAGCATGTCCACCTCCGGCCGGGGGGGCCTGGTGCCCGCCCCGGGGTCCTGCTGGGGGGGCACAGCTCAGCCTGTCTCACCCTGGGGCTCCGTGCAGGGACGGGCACCCCACCGTGCCCCACGGGAGCCCCTGTGCCCGCAGGGATGGGAGGGGTCCCGGCTGGCCGGGCTCCATCCGCAGGTGTGTCACAGATGGATTTGGGGTGTGGTGCTGCCCACGGGGTGCCCCGGTACTCACCCTGCCCGCCACAGGCAGCTCCTTCCCAGGGGCGTGCGGGGAGCCCGCGGGGGCCAGAGCCAAGTTCCCATTCTGGCAGTGGGGACGAGGGAGGAGCTGGGTCAGTGTGGACCCGGGTGTCCCTCGGGAGAGGGGCTGGGCTCTGCTCTGAGGGACGCGGGTGACACCGGGCCGTGGCCCAGCGTGTTTCCTGTCAGTCCCACCCGGTGCCCGCTCTGACCTCCAGGAGGAGCCTGGGCTCCCAAACCCACCGATCCCTGCGTTGTATTTTGTTCCTGGAAAGTCTGGAGGGGGATCCCCCCGCCGGTGATGGGAAAGGTGGCACGGTCAGTCCCAGCCGCAGCATTCCAGCGTGGCCCCTTGGTCCCGCGATTCACCGCAGTCCCCACGCTCCCCCTGGCCTTTGCCAGCCCCAGCAGGGCATCCTGACCCTGAGCTGGCCATCGCTGGCGTGGGTGTGCCTGGCCACCACCTCCCTCCCCACCGCCCTGGGATGACACCGAGGAAGGGATGGGATGGGGACAGGGACGGCGCCTGCATTCACCTGGGGCTGAGCCAGGTCTCCCGAGCGGGTCCCCATTCTCCGACGATTCCCGGCGGCGCTGTCGCTGCTCGGGGGGTTTTATGGCCGTGGGAAGGACTTTAGTCCCCGGCCGGGCGGTGGCGGCGGCGGGGGGAGGGCGGCCATTGGCTGGGGGTTGTGAAAGCGGCGAGCGCAGCCCCGGCACGGATCAGCCATTAACTCCTTTAATTGGGGCTGCCCCCGCCCGGAGCAGGGCCCGGTGAAACATTAGAGCCCGTGGTTACAGAGTAATTCCCCGCTCGCCGGAACGGAGTCCGCGCTGCTGCGGGCACGGCCGGGCCGCGCCTCGAGCGACAGCGGCGACATCGGTGACAAGCGACACCCGCAAGGCGCCCACCCCCGGCACGTGTCGGCTCCCGCTGGGGACGAAGTCGGCTCCGAAGGTCGCCGGGGCATTAAGCATTAACCACGCCGGGCTACAGCTCGTTCTGCAGCGCCTTGCGGGGGTCCGGGCGCTCCTTGCGGCCGGCGCACGGTCCCTTGTCGCCGTGGCACAGCAGCTGCCGCAGCGCGGCCGGGCCCCACCGGTGCGCGCCGTAAATCTGCGCCTCGCCGCGCTCGCCCACGTAGCCGTGGCACAGCTTGGAGAGCCTGCGAGGAGCCGCGGGGTCACCTGGAGGCGAGGGGACGGTGCCCGACCCCCCTGCACCGCCAAACCCCGACTCACCTGCCCGGCCACGGTCCCCCCGACACCAGCACGCTCAGGGACTGCTGACTCGGCAGCCCCGGCCCCGACAGCCGCTTCTCCCCGTCCAGCTCCAGCACCCCGTAACTGCGGGGAGAGGGGGTTGGAGGCAAAATGGTCGCTGGGGACACCCCGGGGCACTCTGATCCCTCGGGCACCGCCGTCCTCGGGGACATTCTGACCCCTGGGGACTCGCCTGTAGCTGGGATCACCCTGATCCCAGGGACACCCCCATCCCAGGGACACCCTGCTCACCTCTCCCAGTCCTGTGAGCAGGTCCTCTCCAGCACCTCTATGTAGTCCGACTCCTTCAGAGTCTTCTTGCCCACCTTCCCCTCTGCCTTGCGCAGCTGCTCCTCAATCTGGGGTGAGAAAAGGCAGAATCGGGGCACTGAGGGTGGCAGCCTGTCCGTGACCCCGCTCCCGCGCGGGGCTGCGCTCTGCACCCCCTTCTGTGCAGCCCCAGCAGTTGAAGCACATCTGGGTCAGAGGGTCCATGAGGAGCCCCAAAAGGCTTTTTTAAGGTGCCGATGAGAATCTCCAGCAGGGGCGTGCCCCAGAGGAGCAGCAGCATCTCCCCACGCTAAAGCTTCCCCACAGGGGTTCTCACTGCCGCTTTTGGGGTGCCGTGTCCCCGGTCCCCACCTGGAAGGCGATGGCGTGGCAGGCGTCACAGCGCAGGGATTCGGGCATGTGGGGCGAGAGCCGCTCCTCGGGGCTGAGCTGGGGCGCGGGCACCGAGCGGGACGCGGCTGCGGGGGGGTCCCCGCACGTGTCCTCGGCCCCTGTCCCCCCCAGCAGGCTCAGCACCAGCCACGCTGCCAGCGCCGCCCGCATCCTGCTCCGACAGCGCGGGGCGGAGGCGTGGGGTGGCTACAAACCCCCGGGGCGGGCTACAAACCCCCAGGGACTGGCGAGCGGCCCCGAGGCGCGGCCAGCACACACCTGCATCCGGCTGGGGCGGCCCGTCCGACCCGGGCGTCGCGGCAGGAAGGGGGGGGTGTGCAGGGGGTGCCCCCTCTCCAGGAGGTTTTTGCTGCAATTCAGTCCTGTAAAACTCAGCCTGATCCCTTCCCCTCAACCTCAGTCCTTCCTGGGATGGTGTGGACTTACAGGGGCAGGGGCTGGGTGAGGATTTGGGGTTCAGAGCTGGGATTTGGGGTTAAGGACTGGGGTTTGAGGCTCATGGTTGTGGTTTGGCCTCATGGTTGTGGTTGTGGTTCATGGTTCTGGTTTGGCGCTCAGGGCTGGGGTTTGGGGTTTAGGGCTCACTGATGGCTGCAGAGTCCCCTCCTGCTCCTCGGCACTGGGATTTATCTGGTGGACACTCCAAGACAGACAAAAGGATTGCAGGTTCCAAGTGCCCCTCGCCTCCCTTTACAGACCACACAAGCACAGGATGAAGAAGCAGATTTAAAGCTCTTTCAGCATTTTTATTACTATTTTGGGGTGTCTGTGCTGCAGCTGTGGTTGGGGGAGCTGGGGGTGGCCAGGCCATCACCCCCTGTGCAAACCAGCCCGGGTCATCCTTGGGATGGGACTGGCAGGACAGGGGGAAGCGGGGCCTCTGTGGTCCCTTTGCTGGCCGGGGCCACACCTCCATGTCCCCCTAGGGAGGGCTGCCAGCTGCAGACGCCGAACACACCCTTTCTGTCCCCGTTTCCATGAGAAGCCAGGGAAGTCCAGCCAGTGCCCGCTACCCCTCGGCGCTCTGCCAGCTCAGCCGTGGGCAGGGAGGCTCTCCCATGCCAGGGGTGATGCTGACTTTGGGCTAAGCCGGGCCAAGGGAAGGGACATCCCGGCGGCTCCGTCCCGTCACATCCGGAGCAGAGATCCCTCGGGCGCGGCAGGGCTGGCGCGGGCCGGGGGCTGCTCGGGGCCGGGGCTGGCCCGCATGCCCGTGGGGATGTAGTACAGGCTCTCCAGGTAGCCGCAGTCGGGACCCCCGGCAGGGGACGACCCCTCGCCCTTGGGAGCGGAGCCGGGGCTCCCGGGGTTGTCGGCAGCCGGCAGCGAGGGGTGCGGCGGAGAGGGGGCGGAGGGCGGCGGTGCCGGGAGCCCCGGGAAGCCGCCGTAGGGTGCGTAGGATGGGCCGTAGACCCCCGGGGCCATGACCAGCGGGTTGAAAGGTGCCTGGTAGAGCCCGGTGTGTGATGCCACCGGTGGGACCAGCACCTCCAGGTACTGCCCGGTCTCGGGGTCGTAGAGTGTTTTCATCTGGGGCTGCCGCGGCGGCTCCATGTAGTAGCACTTCCCGCTGCTGGGATCCACGAGCATCCTCCGCTGGGCGGGCACGGCGGCGGGGAAGGGCTTGGGGGGGCTTTGCCTGCTCCTCCCGCTCGGCGAGGGACCATCGCTCCTCCTGAGGAAAGGAGGAGCATCCTCCAGGTGGGGCTGGGCTGGGGGCTCCATAGCAGCCGAGCCCTCGGGGGGTCGGGGCAGGAGGGGCTCAGGGCTGGGCTTGCTCCAGGGCACTTCCCCACCAGGAAGGGCATAGGCACCGGTTCCCAGCGGAGCGCTGGCAGGACTGGGGACAAAAGGGGATCCAAAGAAAGAGCCGGCCACGTTGCAGATTGATGGATGCCCAAGGGAAGTGGGGACTGGGTTGCTGACCAAGGGGGACCCAAAGGATGAGCTGCCTGGGTTGGGGATCAAGGGGTTCCCAAAGGATGCACTGGATGGATTGGGGACCAAGGGGTTCCCAAAGGATGCACTGGATGGATTGGGGACCAAAGGGGACCCAAAGGATGCACTGGATGGATTGGGGACCAAGGGGTTCCCAAAGGATGCACTGGATGGATTGGGGATCAAAGGGTTCCCAAAGGATGCACTGGATGGATTGGGGGCCAGTGGGGACCCAAAGGATGCACTGGATGGATTTGGGACTAAGGGGTTCCCAAAGGATGCACTGGATGGATTGGGGGCCAGTGGGGACCCAAAGGATGCACTGGATGGATTTGGGACTAAGGGGTTCCCAAAGGATGCACTGGATGGATTGGGGGCCAGTGGGGACCCAAAGGATGCACTGGATGGATTTGGGACCAAAGGGTTCCCAAAGGATGCACTGGATGGATTGGGGACCAAGGGGTTCCCAAAGGATGCACTGGATGGATTGGGGACCACGGGATTCCCAAAGGATGCACTGGATGGATTTGAGACCAAGGGATTCCCAAAGGATGCACTGGATGGATTTGGGACCAAGGGGTTCCCAAAAGATGTGCTGCACAGGTTGGGCAACAGAGGGGCCCCAAAAGACTTGTTGGAGTTGGAAACCAAGGGGGCCCCAAATGACGTACTGGCCAGGCTGGAGGCTGATGGGAAGCCAAAGGATGAGCTGGTCACGTTGGTGACCATGGAGGTCCCAAAAGAGGCACTGGCTGGGTTGGGGGCTGAGGGAGCCCCAAAAGAGGCACTGGCCGGGATGGGGACAAAGGGGGTCCCAAAGGATGCACTGCCTGGGTTGGGGACCGAGGACAGCTTTGGCATAAGCGTGGATTTGGGGGCTCTCTCGGGGATTGCCAAGTAGTTGGAGTTCTCTGCCGGGGCAGCGGGCGGGTAGGGCTCTGTAGCCGCCGGCCACAGCGGCGAGTGCTCCCAGGCCTCCCTGTGCTCCGGCAGCCGCCCAGGGGAGCCTTCGCCGCTGTCCCCGGCTCGGAGCGGCGCGGCGGGGCCGGAGCCACCGGGCTGCTGCTGCCTCTGCTCGCCGGCCCCGGGCTCTGCCGCGCTCCTCGTCCCCGGCTCCGCCGGCCGCGGCCGAGCGCTGCTGCCGCCCGGGGCTCCGGCTCGGGGGTCCCGGCTGTCCCCGCTGCGGGGCCGCTGTCCCAGCGACTCCGGCCCTTCGGCAGCGGGGAGCGCTCCGCTGCCGCCGCGGCCGCGCACCTCCTTCCCCTCGGCGGGACTCGGCGGCGGCGGCGGCAGCAGAACGGTCTTCTCTGCCCGCAGCACCGCGCTGCTCTGGGCCGGGGAGCTCTCCCGGCCCGGCCGGCCCACCAGGACGTGCAGATGGGTCTCCACGTGCGGCACCCGCTCGGCCGCCGGGGCCCGCGGGGGCAGCCGGAGCTCGCTCCGCTCCCGGCGCGGGGGCGACGCCGGCGGCTCCTCCGGGGGTGCCGCTCCCCTCCGCGTGGCCTGGACCCTCGTGATGTTGATGGGGGAGCTGTGGGGGGGCTTGGCGGGGCTGCCCGGGGGCCTTGCGGGCCCCTCGGCGGGGGCTGCCGGCATCTCCTCCCCCGCCGGCTCCGGCGGCGGCTCCCGGCGGACCGAGGTGCAGTGGATGACCAGAGGGGTGGCTGGCGGCGGCTCCCCGCTGCTCGCCGGTGCCACGGTGCCGCGGGAGGCGCCGGCAGTCCCGAACTTGAGGCTGTAGCTGCTCTTCACCAGCTTGCGCACGTCCCGGGGCTGCGGGACGCGCCCCTTCCCCTTCTCCTGCGGCTTGGGGGGCGCGGCTGGCGGGGACCCCCGGGGTTCCGGGGGGGTGCCGGGGCTGGGCGGCCGGCGGGGCACTGCCGGTGGCTTCTCCGGCTGGCTCTGGGGCAGCGGCCTCGCCCCCTGCGCCCGGGAGGAGGCGAAGGGGCGGCGCGGCGGGGTGGCGGGGAGCGCCCGGCTCTCGGCCTTGAAGGGGAGGCTTTGGGAATGGATGGGGCCGATGGCTCGCTCCTTCAAGCTGGGCCACGGCCTCGGCGCCCTCGCAAACCGGGGGGCGACATCCAGCACCTTCCCCACCCCGGGCTGGGCTTCGAACAAGGCGCGGGCGCGCTGGTAGCAGATCCTCTCCGACGTGTGCTCCTCCGCGGCCGCGGGCAGCCAGCGGCCCTCCAGCACCTCCTGGTACTTCATCCTCTGGTTGAGCTCGTTGAACGTCTTCCTCAGGTTGCAGACGGTCTCCCTTGTCGCCTCGCTGAGCACCACGCCCTTGGTGGGATGGGTGGTGGTGGCGGTGCTCCCCGCGGCCACCGTGGCCACCGGCATCCCGCCGCCCCGCAGGTCCTCGGCCGAGAAGCTGCAGTCCGAGCGGGACAGCGAGCTGGACTTGCCCTCCAGACCGTCCCCCAGCAGGTCGGTGCCGGCGGAGGACGGCCCCGAGGAGGTCGAGCTGCCCCGCAGCCCCTTCTGCTCCATCTTGATGCGCTGCTCGTACTGCATCTTCTTGGCCAGGACGTTTTTCACCAGGCACGAGGCCGCCCTGGTCCTGTCGGTGCCGGCCTCCAGGGACGCCGCCTTCATGAACTGCTGGTAGTTGAACCTGAAGTCCTCGCCGACGGCTCTGCCCTTGCTGGGGGGCTCCTTCCTGGCAGGGGGCTGGGGCGCTGGGCCATCCCCCCGCGGGCCAAAGCCCGTCTCCTTCCTCTCCTTCCTCTTCAGCAGGATCTGGCGCTTGGGCACCGTCCTCTTCTTGCCGTGGCCCTTCCTGGCCTCGCCGTTCTCCAGCTCCACATCCACGCACTCGAACTGCTCCTTGCCCAGCAGCTCCCCGTCCACGCCGGCGGGGAAAGGCCATCCCACCCTGCCGTGCAGAGCTGTCGCCGCGCCCCGGGGCTCCCCGGCCCCCGCCGGCCACCGCCGCGGCCGCCCGCCGTCCTCCGACAGCGAGTTGGAGAGGCTGGAGGAGGTGTGGGAGCTGCACATGTCGAGTCGAGCTCCGGGGAGCCCCGAGAGGCTGCGGAAAGCCCTGGCCGTCAGCGCCTGCACCTCGCCGTCCACCTCGTCCGAGTCGCTGGGAGCCGCGGCGAGCATCGCCCCGGGCGGTCGGGGCACGGCCGGCTCCCCGGCGGCGGCCGCGGCCGGCACAGGCTGCCGGTCCCCACCGAGGGGACCCATCCTGCCCCCCTGGCCCGGAGCTGGGCTATTCTTAGCCGCGCTGGACAGCTGAGCCCGCTGCGGGCGGGAGAGGGGGCCGGGCGGTGGGGGCGCGCCGGGGGCCCCCGCCGGAGCCCAGCGGGCCGGGACAGCCCGGCCGGGCGATCCCTCCTCGTCCAGGAACTCCAGGCAGTCCTTGAAGGTCTCCGTGCCGTCCGAGCACAGGGCGGAGTGGTAGGAGGACAAGGAGGAGCTCGACATGCTCTTGGTGAGGTCGTCGCGGGGCAGCCCCGGGAGGTGTCCGTCCTCCTCCTCTTCCTCCTCCGCGGAGCGCCGGCCGTCCCCAGCCGCGCGGGGACCCTCGCCCTGGGGGCCGGGCAGCTCGGCGGGGGACAGCAGCACCGGCTCCCTCTTCCCGCGGGGCATGGTGGCAGCGAGCAGCGCGGGGGCTTCGGCCGGTGCCGGGGAGCCCTGCTCGGGGCCGGGGCCGCTCTGCCGGGGCCGCTGGCTCGACCTTCTGCCTCCCTCGCCGTCCCGGCGGCTGGACCCGGCGGCGACTCAGAGCAAGCCCCGGATCACATGGACTCGGTCAGCGCCAGCCGGGGCAGCCGATGCCAAGCGCATTGCAGGGATGCCACCGCCGCCCCCAGCCTCGGGGACCTGCCGGGGGCCGCCGGCTCATCCCTGCCCCTCATCCCGCCCCGCTGGGGAGCCAGACCGCAGGACAGGTCCCAGGGCACCCCACACAGGTCCCAGGATACCTCATACAGCTCCCGGGTGTGACCCCATGGAACGGCTGGGCTGCCCCGGGGCGGGGGGACCCGCAGACCCCTCTGGGGATGTCCCATCCGCGGTGCTGAGGGCACGGCAGGACCCCGAGCTGCAGCTCCTTCCCCACCACGGCTCCCTTCCCGGTGCCATTGCCCACCTCGCCACAGCAATGGTGTGTCCAGCTGGGCTTTCCCCTAAACACACCCTGCCCCAAGCAGGAGCTCCCCCACAGGCAATCCAAGCGGCCAGGAGCAAACTCAAGGCTTGGGATCAACCCGGGCATGGAGCAGCGCTGGGATTCACAGGAGCTGACCAAAGGACTGCAACCATGTGTCGTTTTTGGGGACACCCCATGCCAGTGGTGGGTGGCTGGGGTGACATGAGGATCTCTGCAGCTTGCCCACCCCAAGTGCTGCTGGTGCAGCCCAGTCCCAGCTTTTGGGGGAATTTTTGCCATGAAACAGCAGCAGCAGGTGCTCCCCAGTGCTGCCAGTCCTGGAGCAACCCGATGCCCACGTCCTCTGGGTTCATGCAGGGACTAAAATTAAACCTTGGCAAGGCGGAGAGGAAAGCTTCCCATAGAGCTGGGCTGGCACTTAACCCTTCCCTGCTGAGCTGGGCTGGGCTTGCAGGTGGCATTTGTGCCCACAGGGACTGCAGGGGACCTGCCGTGGGCAGCGCTCACTGGTGCAGTGGCCTTGTGCAAGAAGGAGTGTGTATGTGGGATTTCAAACCCCCAAATCCCTTTCTTCATGGTCAGGCACAGGCACGGACTGCCAGGGTGGTGCTGGGGTTGCCATTCCTGGCCCTGCTTCTCCACAGGGCTCCAGGAGGTGTCTGGGGCCAGCCCACCTCCCACAGCACCCACAGCGAGTGCCAGGGAGCACATGGACAGGGGATGGACAGGGGATGGACATTGGGGTGGACAGTGAGTGGACAGAGGATGGACAGTGGGGTGGACAGCACAGCCGGGTGTCAGGTGCTGCTCTCCTGCCACCCTCGCAGCCTCCGGTTGTGTCACTTGTCACAGCTGTTGTCACTGTGACCATTGTGGTCTTAGCAGGACCTGGGTGTCACAGCAGCAGCAGCAGCAGCAAGGACTGTGCTGAGCACTTTTGGAGTGAGGCAGGGGAAAGGCTGGGAGAGCTGGGGGTGCTCACCTGGACCAGAGAAGGATCCAGGGAGAGCTCAGAGCCCCTTCCAGGGCCTGAAGGGGCTCCAGGAGAGCTGGAGAGGGGACTGGGGACAAGGGATGGAGGGACAGGACACAGGGAATGGCTTCATACTGGTACAGGGCAGAATTAGGTGGGATATTGGGAATTGGGAATTGTTCCCTGTGAGGGTGGGCAGGCCCTGGCACAGGGTGCCCAGAGCAGCTGTGGCTGCCCCTGGATCCCTGGCAGGCCAGGCTGGACATTGGGGCTTGGAGCACCTGGGACAGTGGAAGGTGTCCCTGCCATGGCAGGGGATGGAAGGGAGTGGCCTTTGGGGTTCTTTCCAACCCACACCAGGCTGTGATTCTGGGATCCTAAGGATGCTGTGAGCAGCCCCTCTGGGGGTGCTGTGGGAGCAGCAGAACTGGCCGGGCGTTGCTGTCACTGCCCTGGCTGCAGCCCCAGGCTGCCACCAGCCCAGGGCACGCTGCACACCTGCACCTCTTCCTGCTGCTCCCGGGTTTGTCCCTCGGTGTGGAGGCCATGCAGAGACCCTTGGGCTCCTCCTGCCAGACGAAACCCAACCAGCACCTCCCAGCACCCAGAGCAGGCTGGGCTGTGCCTGTGGGGCACAAACATGTTACAGAACAGCGGGTGGACCCCGGCTGAGCCACACTTGCTAATTAAATGCTCATTTATGTTTAAGCCAGCGTGATACTGCCTGAAGCCTCACCACTGCATTTGCTTATTAACCTGGATTTCGTGCCAGCTCGGTGTGTGCTCACCTCAGTGCTGGCAAGCCTGGCAGGAGCAGTGAGGAGGAGGAGGAGGAGGAGGAAGGCTGCTGGTAGCTGCTGAAAGCAGGATGTGCCTCTCCCACGCTGGAGCTACTTTTTGCAGCTCCGGAGGAGCAGGAAACACCGGCCCAGCTTGGCAGGGGTTTTCAGAGCCGCCTCCGTTCAGGAGGGACCGGGGCATCCGGGACACGGCAGCAGCCCCGGGAGCACTGGGACAGCCCCGGGCGCGGTGTGACAGGACGGACCCACCGGCCCCGTGCCAGGCTGTCCCAGGGCGGCCCCGCTCTGCCGGGGCTGGGGCACAGGGGCGATGCCCGGGCAGGGCTGCGAGCCCAGAGCCGCGGGCCAGAGAGCGGGGCCGGGCTGGGACAGGCGGGGCAGGGGCGACCTGCGGCCACACGGCCCCGTGTCAGGGGCCAGCCCCGCTCCCAGCCCCCTGTCCTGTTCCCAGCCCCCTTGTCCCGTTTCAGCTCCCTGTCCCGTTCCAAGCCCCGTTCCCAGCCCCATTCCCTGTTCCGCTCCCTGCTCCCTTCTCAGTCCCTTGTCCCGTTACCAATCCCTTGTCCCGTTCTCGATCCCGTGTCCCATTCCCAGCCCTCGGTCCCATTCCCAGTCCCGTGTCCCGTTCCCAGCCCTCAGTCCCGTTCCCAGTCCCGTGTCCCGTTCCCAGCCCTCAGTCCCGTTCCCAGTCCCGTGTCCCGTTCCCAATGCTGTGTCCCATTCCCAGCCCTCAGTCTCGTTCCCAGCCCTCAGTCCCGTTCCCAGTCCCGTGTCCCATTCCCAGCCCTCAGTCCCATTCCCAGTCCCGTGACCCGTTCCCAGTCCCGTGTCCCGTTCCCAGTCCCGTGACCCGTTCCCAGTCCCGTGTCCCGTTCCCAGTCCCGTGTCCCATTCCCAGCCCTCAGTCCCGTTCCCAGTCCCGTGTCCCATTCCCAGTCCCGTGACCCGTTCCCAGTCCCGTGTCCCGTTCCCAGTCCCGTGTCCCATTCCCAGCCCTCAGTTCCGTTCCCAGTCCCGTGTCCCGTACCCAGTCCCGTGTCCATTCCCAGCCCTCAGTCCCGTTCACAGTCCCGTGTCCCATTCCCAGCCCTCAGTCCCGTGTCCCATTCCCAGCCCTCAGTCCCGTTCCCAGTCCCGTGTCCCATTCCCAGCCCTCAGTCCCGTTCCCAGTCCCGTGTCCCATTCCCAGTCCCGTGTCCCGTTCCCAGTCCCGTGTCCCGTTCCCAGTCCCGTGTCCATTCCCAGCCCTCAGTCCCGTTCCCAGTCCCGTGTCCCATTCCCAGTCCCGTGTCCCATTCCCAGCCCTCAGTTCCGTTCCCAGTCCCGTGTCCCGTTCCCAGCCCTCAGTTCCGTTCCCAGTCCCGTGTCCCATTCCCAGTCCCGTGTCCCATTCCCAGCCCTCAGTTCCGTTCCCAGTCCCGTGTCCCATTCCCAGTCCCGTGTCCCGTTCCCAGCCCTCAGTCCCGTGTCCCAGTCCCGTGTCCCGTTCCCCGTCCCGTGTCCATTCCCAGCCCTCAGTCCCGTTCCCCATCCCGTTCCCGCCGAGCCCACGTCACGTGCAGGCCCTGGGGCGGGGCCCGAACAGACCCCGCCCCTGCCATGAGGGCGGGAGCGCAGGCCCCGCCCACACGGGCCCTCCAGTCCTTCACACGCGGGCAGGGCTCAGTCCCCGATCCTGATCCCAGCCCCGATCCCCATCCCAAGCCCTCGGCCATGTCCCGCACCCCGCGGCAAATGGCGGCCGCCTCTCCTCCCCGGCCCCGTCATCCCCTGCAACCCTCCCGGCACCAGGCTCAGACCAACATGGACAGGCACAGCGATGTCACGTCTTTATTTAAAAATAAATAAATATATATACACACACAAACCCATGTTCAAGCGCTTGGTGCACCCAGGAACACCCTCTCCTCCCGTCAGAGCCCCACAAAGAACCCCAAGTACCCCCTGGAGAAGGACAGCGATGCATTTCCACACCGGGGCTCCAGAGAGGATTCTCCTTTTCCCTGAGGAGCACCAACAAACACAACTTGTCCTGTTTGTCACCGCAGAGGTCCCAAGCCACACGCCCTCCCTCACAGCACGCACCAGGACCAGCACCCTGACCCTGGCTAGGAACAGAACACTTATTGCTTTTGGGGATGTTTTTACCTCCCTCCTGCGTTTCCCAGCTGATTGTGCTTCCCACAGGAGGTCTCCATCAAGTACTCGAGGTCTTTGGATGAAAGGTACAATCCAGTTTCAGTGCAAAATGCTGTGGAGGAGTTCAAGCTCCGTGCAGGACATTGTGAGTCCAAGAAATTGCCAGATTTGGTCTCCCTACCTGCATGCCTCTACAGTCACACAGGAATGGCAGGGAAGATTCCAACCCTGGAACAAAGTCCAACCACTTAAATAGATTCCTAATATATTCTACAAGCTATTTACTATATAAAAAGCAACATTATTTTCAGTTTTGTACACTCATGTGCTGAAAAGTGGGAAATATCAGCATTAAGGCTGCCTGCTGTGCCAGCCACCAACCTGGAATAATCACCCATTCCTGCCCTTAAACCCTGGCACTAAGAATGTTCCACACCAACCCCCCCCAAATGCCCTTTTTACCGGTGCTTTTCCTGTTCCAGGTGCCCCAAAATTTTAACTCAACTTCCCCATATTCCTACAAGGTTTCCTACAAATGGGGCATAAAAATGAAATTTAGAGTCACTGTGTAATTTTTTTTTCCTTTTCATGACATCCAACCACAGCACTGCTGCTGTCCCCGGACTGTTCTCCTCCTCCTCTCCTGGGATGTTTAGGGCTTGTGCGCAGAAGCACCAGGCCTCAAACCAACCCCTCATCCTTGTGCAGACCCCAGAAAACCCAGAAAAGGGTTTTTTTCCAGCTTCCTTTCCTGCCAAACCTCCCAGGGGTGTATGGATGGAACAGGGACATGGAGGGGACACACTGTGGCACCAACATCCCCAGTTCCATCCAGTGGGACTCCTACACCACTGCACCAGTGCCCAGCACACAAACAGTCTGAGCTTTAAAGGCAGGCTTAATCCTGGCGTTTCCCAAGCTTCTGAGCAGTTACTCCTTAGGTTTCAGCCAAGGCCACCTGTGCATCCTGTGTGACTCGAGTTTCAGGCATGTGGCAACAGCAGAGCCTTGCTCAGGTGTCACTGACTCCCACTCCCAGGGTCAGAGGGGAGCAGTGCTGCTCTGTGAGCCCCCACCCTGGGCAGGAATTCCCTGGAAGAGCAGCTCATTCCATGCAGGGCACACACCAGACTGCCTCAGGGGGTTCATGGTGCCCAACTGGAGCAACACTGCTCTAACACTGGTCTGCTGCTCACCAGGACAACCCAGCATCAACTTGCATTTCAAGGCCTGGCCGTGTGAAGGAGGATCAAGAAAAAACAGGACATTGCCACATGGATTTTTCTCTTTGCAATATCATGTCTACAGTGAAACATTCATAGCTGCTCAACAGAGTAAAAATATGCTACATGAGAACTGTACTGGAAAATGCAGGATCTTGGGAGAGCTGGGGGAGTGTGCAGATAAAAACCAGAATGGAATAGCCAGCTTCAAAATGTGCCACTGGAAACAGAGGAAGGAATGACCACAGTTCTGCTTTCCCAGCAGTCTGGTAGACACTGGAATGGGTGCAATTCCCAGACTCCCATGCTGGTGTCAGGATGGGCACAGCCCTCCCTTGGAGCAGCACGGGCACAGGAGAGCTGGGAACGTGCTCAGGGGCTGCCCTCAGGCAGGGACTGTCCCTCCTACTGTCCCTCCTGCACTGGAACCACCCCAGCTCTGTGGCACAGCCAGGAGGGACAGGGGGAGGTGACACCCAGAGCACGGCGCTGTCTGGGGATCCAGGGAGCTGCAGATCCATAGGAAACACGGGAAGCAGAGGGGAGCCTGCTCTCCTGGGAAGCACACACAGCCTGGAAGGCAAACCACCCAGGCAGCTGGGGTCTGAGCTCAGAGCGTATCTTGGGGAATGAATTTACAAAGTGCCACTGGTCCTTGGACCCAAATCTAATGTACAGGATATATTACAGCAAACAGCAGCCCTGCAGCTTTTGCCAGCCCCTCTCTGCACTGCCTGCAGAAGGACTCCAATATTCACACTCTTTACAACAGACTCCTTCCTTTTCACATGGAGGAAAATAAAAACATAAGTTAAACCAGCAATAAATAAAAGTATGGAACATGTGCGTCCTGGTCAGCCCCCTTTGTGCATCCCAATCAGACTGGAGAGCTTCTCACAGTGCTCAAGTTTCAGGGACTCTGCTTTCTGTTTTAACCGCTCATCTCTGTAGAGCTTGGCCAAATTGGACAAATCAGACTCTGAAAGATGAAAAAAAAAAAGTATTAGGATGAAGTCCTGAGCCTCCTTTAAAGAACTGCTTCTAAGTGCTTCGTTATTCTTGTGGCACTTTTAAATTTTAATTTTGGTGGGTATTGAAGCCAGAGAGGTGAACAGCGACCCAAGGGACTCGTTTGAAAGGCCTCCCTGCCCTTTCATTAACAATCTCAAATGTACTTTGCATTTTGTTCCCCTTCTTCTCAAAAGCCACATAAAACTGAAATAATCCCATTGTTTAAATTATTTCCTCCCAGTAATTCAGAGAAGTTGCTTTTGCTGATTAGCTGAGGAAGTCTTAATATAGGTTTTTCCCTGCAGAATAATTTGGCTGCAGGATTAGATGCACCGAAGAGAACAGCAGTAATTTACTTCTGAAAAGGTCAACATCTCCGTAAGCACAGGCTACCTGATGACACTCCATTTTTCAAAGAGCTTTTATACACCTTACAAGCCCCTCATTTTACAAAATTATTCAGAGTGGAAAGAACTTCAATAGATCCTTTCATGCCTTACGTCCTCTGTCCCTGTCCCACTGAAATTTAAAGCCATTTAACCCTCCTCCCACTCACTGGAAAGCTTCACAAACTGACAGGCAGGAACAGCTCATTTTAGAGCAGGAATCCATTTACAGGTTTATAACCAAAATGCCACTCAAGCAGTGCTGGGCACAGCCTTGTCAAGCCTCCAGTAAAAACCAGGCTCAGGTAATTGTCTCTGAGCCCAGAGTCCCTGGAGTTGTGCAGTGGAGAATCTCAGTTTACAGTTATCCAATTGAGGAAAATTATTCCCTGCACTTTTGACAGCGTTCATTCCATCACATTTGCTCCTTGTGGGTTTCAATCCGTCACAGAGTGGCTCTTCTGAAGCCTTTTCTTCAAGGAGATTCTAAAATATTGAATTCCAACTATATTTCCATTGGATATACAATTAGATATACAAAAGAAATTCCCTCCTGTGAGGGTGGGCAGGCCCTGGCACAGGGTGCCCAGAGCAGCTGTGGTGGCTATCCCTGGATCCCTGGCAGTGCCCAAGGCCAGGCTGGATGGGGCCTGGAGCAGCCTGGGACAGTGGGAAGTGTCCCTACTCATGGCAAGGGGTGGAGCTGGATGAGCTTTAAGGCCCTTTCCAACCCAAACCATTCCATGATTCTGTGATACTTATCCTGACTTGGTTTTCAGTTGCCTCTTTGTGATCCCAAGCTCTCTGCAGCCTCACTTTACAACTGAGCCATCCCAGCTGAACCATCTCCTGTAAAACCTGGCACGTGCTTTTTGAACCCAACTGTGCCCCAGATTTCAGAAGACCCAAACCCCCAGCACACCCAACTTTCACACACTGCTCTGCTGAGAGTCTGCTGCAGCACTGTAAAACTGACTGGCTGAACAATGTACAACCAATCCATTATTTTAAATGTTTTCCTTAAGGTTGTTGGACACCAGGTAATGCTTTTCAAGTCTTAAAATCAAGGACTTTAAAACCCAAGCTGTTCCTGAACTACTCATGTCTGTTTTGCTGGTGCTCAAGGGAAACGTGCACTCAGTAAACACAACAAATGTACTATAAATAGACATTCAACTGACAAGAAGCTCATCACACCAATTCCAACACTTCAGCAAGGATTAAGGGACCAACACTGTGCAGCAACAGCTGACTAAGAACTGCCTCAGCATCTGCAGAACTTTCCCCCAGCACTCCATCCTGTATTCAGAGTTTATTTTTACAAACATGACTGTCCTAAGGTCAGCCCAGTCTCAGCTATGGCCAGGATGGGAAGCACTCTGAAAACGGTGAGTTTTTAATGACAGCAGTGGCCTGAGGCTGTGCTAACTGTGGCTGCTGTGAATGTATTTGCAGCTGGTGACTAACACAGCCCCTGAGTGCACAAAGCTCTGGAGGAGCACAGCTTGGCAGGCACTTGGCATTCCAGGCTGGATCATCTCCCCTCTCTGGCTCCTGGGCTCCCTCAGACTCACAAACCCTGTCCCCTATTTGGGGCTGGGCTCTCCTCAGCTCCAGCTCTCTGTGGAAGAGACAATGTGGTGACTCTCAGCTGCACGAGGTCAATTAAAGGGATTTTTCTGTAGGAAGGAAACTCTCCCCTTTAGCAAGTGTACATTTATGAGTATGAACATCCACATTATCCCTGGAGGCTGCTCCTGCCAGCCACAGACATTCAAAGCTCACAAATGAAACACACCAAAAACTTCAGGGCTTTTATGGTCTTATATTATATGTTCTTTTCCTTTTTCACTTCAGAGCCTACATCTTTTCATTTCTCTTTAAAAGCAGGATTGGTAACTTTTATGTAAAATAAGCCAAAACAAGCCTTCCCATCAAACACCTGTAAAGAGCCTG